AAAGTCCACTGGCAATACACGTCTCAATAAAACATTAGACGCTGTATCCAGCAACTTTGTTTTATGGTTGCCCTGTCTAGCATTTGTCTTTTATAATGAACGTTGTATAACGGATGCTGTCTAGCAAATTTGTTTTATGGATGTTTTGTCAAGCACCTCTTATTTATAATGGACGTTGTATCTAGCTACTTTGTTTTATGAACGTTGTATCTAGCTTCTCAGTTAGGTACACTGCTCTTTCTGCAATCTTTATTAAAACTTTTTTTGAGAATAAAAAAGAACTGAAATAAGCATTTTTTAAAGGAAAGTCAAGAAATTTTGAATACTTAGATGTATAGAGATATTCATGGAGCCACTATGCAGCATGTTTACATTACAAAATTTTATATCAGAAATACTGATGGCAGTATAAAGCACCATGTTTTTTCCTCATAAATCATTGCACATTTCCCAGTAATTGCACATCCCTCGATTGTTTGTCTTGGTTTCGTTGTAGTTGATTTAGCATTATTGATGGTGATATGATAGATTTTGCGATCTTTCAGTACTGGAAGTTGATTGCTTTTCTATCAAGTCATTTGATCGGTGGACTGTTTATGTCTCATAGTCTTCTTCTAAAATGGAAGTTATGTTTACCATCATTTAGATTAACTATTTTATTTTAGCAAAAATTTGCTGCGCTAGTGCTGTTATCTTTTTTAGAGTAACCGTGGTAATCTCGCCAAATCGTCTTCACATTCAAAGAATTAGGACCATGATCCTGGGATTTGGAACATACCGCAAACAAATGAATTCCTAATTTACTTTATTCAGAGCTCAATACAAATATAATCCTAGTGCTAATGGTTTGAGACTTGAAAATCATCCATTTTAAACGACTCAAGTAGTTAACGAGGATCCATGGCAAGTTGGACGACCTTTGATAATTAAGAAAACCAACATCTGCTTGCTTGCCTAGTACACTTTGAATGAAAACACAAAAAGCATCGCTCCGTTGTGTCCATACTTCCAACAGAAAAATGTGGTTATGGTTTCTAGATGAAGATGTGCTGGAAGTATTTAATAGTTAAAACAATATTTTTTCTAAATTCTCTGACAACAACGCCCATAAACTCAGTAAAACAATAAATTCCTCTTAACGTTCGAAATATGCTTTTTATTGTAGAATCTATAGTTAATTTCTTTGAAGAAATTCAATAGTGGAAATTTCAAGCACCATGTTGATCGGCTTAGGATCTTAGGATTTGGTTGCACCTTTGCGGGCGTGATGAATCTTTGACGTACGCCGCCCACCCCGGTAATTACGCAAAATCCTTCTCATTGCTGTTATCGTTGCGTGCTTGTTCTAAATATTCAATAATCTTTCCTTCTTTGAATTAGTTTGTATATGATATAACCTTCTCCGACTGTGCGATGCACCGTGGCAGAGCTTTCTATTAGATCTTTCGACAAAATCAATTTGGAGATGACGTCGTGTTCCAAATAGATGCCGTCACAAAATTAAATTTTTAGGATTGTTTTTCTAGACCACATACCCTGAAATAGTATTATGCAATACATCTAAATGTTTACGAAATGGACCTCTAAACCAGTGGCGAAGCTGACCAAGAACAGGTGGTCCTGCTCAAAGGGGGTCTGGGGGCTACGCCCCCAGAAAAATCGCGTGAAGCCACGCCCTAGAGACCCTCGGAAAAGGGGAAAACGCCCTTCTGGATATGTTGAAATCAAGATTGCAGTGAAACATTCTTCACTGCCACATTTTGGAAAAAAGGGGATGAAGGTTCGGATCCTTGTCAAAAGAGCATCACAAAAGTTCTTTCTAAAATAAGTAACATTAGAAAATGTTTTCATTGATTGAAAATTTTGAAATCATTGACTAAAAAGAAATTGCTTGTACAGATAGGCATATACAGTTGTAATACAAACTGGAAACATAATTGATTCAAATTATTTAAAAAAAGTAAAAATATTTTGTCACAACATGGATATGTCTGATGCACGGTAAATAGGGTCTTGAATCAATTTGTTTTGAATATCAAAGGAGACCCCTGACATTTTGCCAGTACAATACAATCTGAGTCACCGAGTACAAAAGCTCCCAGTAATTACCATGGTTTTCCTTTTCATCCTTTTCAAAGCGTCCTTTTCATTGGGACCTCTGAATTGTATGGTAGTTCCTGTTTAAGGCAGGAGGACGAACTGCTGAAATTAAATTTAAGCAAGCCTTTTTTCTGTCATGCACACTTCATCTCCCCTCGATCTCGACTTTCCTGGTATAAAAAAACGAAGATTCTCTCTCGGCAGCGGCTGCTAACTTTTTCTACTGTTTATAATAGGCCTTCGAATATGACTTCCTTTGCTCTCTGCAGTCTGAGAGAAAACTATTAAATGTCAGGTTTCTCGCGATGTCTGTGATATTCTTGACCTATAACAGTAAATAGGACCAACAGAACGACTCTAAACAATTTTATTTCCATAAGTACCACTCGTCTTGAAACGATTGATTCTTGTATAAATCAAGTGACGACGGCCGAAGCTTCTAGCAGCAAAACTTCTTCAACAGCAGAATCATGACGGTTACAGTTAGTTTTATCCATGATTTCAAAATAGTTAAGCCTGACTATGGCCTGAGTGAAAATTCTTTGTGACCTGGGACCACGGTGCAGAAAATCAACAAATTATACCGAAACATAGGGCTCCAAAGTCTAGGTCCTGCCTTCGTGAAAGAGCAGGACCTGAGGTCTTGCCATTTCTGAAGGGCAGGAGTGCCATTGTTTTCTTCTATTGTGAGGCAGGACCAAAAACAGGGCTACAAGGCGTTTGCCCATTGTTGGGCAGGACCAAACATAGGGTTTAGTCCTGCCTACGAGTATTGGGCAGGACTGACCACAGACGATGACGATATCAATTTACGAACGGGATACTCGAAATTCCATTCCAGTCACCCTGTGTCTCAGAATTGAAAAAGGGCACAGCCACGAGGTATAAGCATTGTATAAGTGTAGAATAAGACAAGAAATGCCTTTGAATCAGGCATATAATGATTTCATAAAATGAATAAATTTTTAATATTTTAAAAATTGTTATCTTTGGAAATTTGTGGTCCTGCCCGGCAGGACAAGCAGGACCTTTGGCTTCGCCACTGCTCTAAACCTCTAAAGATCTACCTTCAGCCTTGAGTACACTTGTTGAATCATGAATCAGAACACAAGCCTGGTTCAAGCATGTATAGAACGACATTCTCGCTCTAAATCAGTCGTTTTCCCAATTAAAGTTACCTCCATATCCACCCCTCTCCCAGTTGATTGCAGAGACACAAAATTGAACTAGAGGGAAGAGGATGATAATTCTTACTACCCTCTGTCGCAGATTGTAGACACTATCTTGGCTAGTTGGTTACCTTTGTCAAAAGCTCCCGTTTAAATATGTTAACTCTCCTTGGTCTGAAACTGGATACAATTTGAGCTAAAATTCCACTTTTACCTGCTAACACCTGAATTGAAATTGAGTTAACTAGTGCAGTTGTAGTTAAGAGGATTGCAAGATTGTCTTCAAAGAGACAGAAAGATTTTTAGCTATGAAGACTCTTAGAACCACGAACTCAATTCGCAAAGCTCTCTTTATGAAAATTCTCAAATTATATTCTGATTTTGCCTTATTTGGGTTGTATGGAGGCTTTTTCTCATTTTTCTGAGAAACTAAGCAAAGAGACACAGAGCCTTGATAAATGGAAAAATGGATTGAAGATGAGACATACTTTGATGGCAATTTGTCTGATGTTTGCAAACACATTAAAATCTCGTATTAGCAGCAAATATGTCTCATTTTTTTCAAACCTCTAATACAACAATGGTCACATTAAGAGTGAATTTCTGTGCAGCAACTTAGAACCGTCCTGTTCTATACATCAAATAGCACATACAGTTTTTCCAGTTTTTCTTCAAATTATGGTTTTCTATTTTTCTTTAGTCTTCAGATTGAATCTTAGTTGTATGTAACTTGAAATGTTACTTGATAGCTCGTATTGGGTATGTCCCTGCATCCATGCGGGTACAAGCTTTCATACACGCTATACATTTATAGAAAAAATTCTTACAACGGTATTGTGATGAAATATTATCATTTTTAAATTCAAAATTAGTTCAATTGCCATGTTGATTCAAATTGTCAGATAAAATTTGAGTTTGAGTTTCACTCAAAATTTCAATCTGCTCTAACCAAGGAAATTTTTCTCTTCCAAAAAAGGATTTTTAAACGTTAAAATGCACGAAAGTTTTGCAAATACAACTTACAACCTAAATAAGGTACAAACAAAAACTAGTTTCATATCTTCACACTTCGGTCAATGTAGACATCCCCAATAAGTGTTTCGCTCAAAGGGAGTTTTTACTCCCCATTTGCCAACCAAATGAGTGCGCCATCCTTAATTTGCGGACAAGTGTAAAATTTCGCCGTCAAAGCAAACCTAGATGGCATAAAATTTATGGTTTTTGAGATGGGACTTTATAAAGGGATCAACGACCTTGTTCAAAGTTATATTTTACAGTACCTCAGCCTCAGCTTGTTCTTTATGTGTTTTAACTGTTGACCAATTTCTCGTGTTCTTATAAAATTGTTCTTATAGAAAAGAGTGTATATCTTTTAATGAGACATGAAATTGTTTAAAGTAGTAAAGATAACATTTGATACTTAATACTTAGCATCATTAGCTAGTTCTTTTAGTTCATTTAATTTGCATTGAAAACAAATAAAAGCGATTTAGAAACCAACAAAGTTACTTTGTATCGATGATTAATGAATTTTTGATGTCCAAAATGCGTTAAAAGGATCTATATCAGATACTTGCAAAGCGAATTTAATGATCTATATTTTTTAAGTTGACTCACTTCATACTACTTAACGGTTATTTTGTAACTACAATAGAGTACCGAAGTGATGACGTCACTAAAATTAATTTTTAGAAGGTATTTTTGAATGCATTTTAGTGAATGTATCACAAATTGGTTGAGATATGGCTGCATAAGCAAAGGGCATTTTCCCATTGAACTTCGATGAACCAGGCTTGAATAACAGTAATCCGATGACGAACTTGAACTCCTTTTCTGCCATGTTGGGCATATCTCGCCCAATTTTGAACAAATCTAGCTGATTTTGCAAAATGGGATGTATTTTATGCCGATATTTCAGGTTATGTGGTTGAATGACCTTGAATGACCAATCTTGAGACTTGTCGAGTCTAATCGTTTGGAAACGGTAGCTGAGAAAAAGTGATAAATTGCTGAAAATGCCCTTTAGTGGAATTCCATGTTATTCAGATAAAAACCGGGCAGAAAGTAGTGAGGTTTTCACCCAACTCCTGTCACCCAACAAGTCGATATCTCTGATATAAAAAATAAACCGTTTGAGCATTCAGCAATAGGTAGGTGGCATCGATATTAACGTTGTTCAGTGTAATAAAGTCAAAGCTAATTACAAGTTACTTTGTTAATTCTATGACTAATTCATTCAATTTTTTTGCAAGGTTTTAATGATGACTTATTTCCCCTGGTACTGTTTGATCTTGTTCGGTTTGAGCTTAAAAGTAAAATAACTGCCAAGGCTAAACGTTTCCTAGCGCAAAGCCCAACAGTGTTCGCTCTTATAATTCTGAATATTCAGTAATATTAAAATGCTCGCCGTACTGAACAACACAGAACAAGATTGCACGTTTCTCGACTTTGTTATGTGAAATATTCAATACTAGACTTTGTAACTAGGCTAAGGCTTATGTCTTTGCTGTTGTTTTGGTATCCGTGTTTCGCCGATTCGACTGTTGGTTTGTGGTGTGCTTCTGGTAAGGACTTTTGTTTAGAAGTCCAACTCCAGATTTGTCATGTTCAGTTCTGCGCCATAACCAGGATACAATCTGAACCAATGCCGATCTGAACTTTTCATCCGAGAAACTGTATATGAGAGGGTTCATCCAAGCATGCACGTGAACCAGCGGAGCAAACATGTAAAGGATGAAGAATGTATAGCGTGCAGAGCGAAAAGAAGTTTTTGTTTTCGATGGGAAATTCAACCACAGAATCAAAGCTTGGTTCGGTGTTGTTGTGATTATGAATACGAGGAAAATGCCTATGAACGTCAGAAAAAGTTTTCTGTACTTTTTGAATGGGTTCACACTTTTACCTCCTCCTGAATGCATTTTCCCAGCCGTTTTCGGTACCCCTTTTAAAGCTGTGTAAACGATGTTAATTGACGATATCAGAATAATCAGTATCGGTATGGGGTATGTTACGCTGAAGCTGACAAGATGGTAGAGCTTCTTGTCGTCGTCTCCGAAGTTCCATGTGTATAAGCACATTGTCTTGCCTTTGCGCAGCACTATGTCTCGTTTCGTTGCAAAGGGAGCATGTATGCTGATAGCAAAAATCCACAACAAAGTGGTGACAATAATTGTCTTTCTTATCTTCAAACGGGGTCTAAATGGGTATACAATCGTTATAAAACGATCTACAGCCATAAAACACATGGTAAACATGGAACAAGTGAGTGAGCTCGGTGACAGTAACATCATCTTGCATAGAAATCTCCCAAAGTGCCACTCGCTGGAGCGGAATCTACTGTGAACCCGAAATATTTGCATCACTGAATACAGCAAATCACTTATGGCCAGATTGACTATCAAGCATTTATACGAGTAGTGTATCTGTAACTTTATGTGGCAGATGATAACCATGATGTTACCAGAAATGCTTAGTATTATCGAGATCAACGCAATGTATTTAGAAATGGTATCGACCAGCATTAGCTCATCGTGCAGGTAATTCAGACCCGCCATACCTGTGAATTTTGCAAAAGAACTGTTCGGAGCAACTGTTCTTTGGAATGCCGAATTATTCGTTCCCACACTAGATGACATCAACGCCATTTCAAGCCTTGTTCCAATTAAATTCAATGTCTCTCCGAAAGAACCTTTTTCCAATTAAAGAAGCCTTAGTGTGATATTCCTTGTTAATAGGAAGATAAAGGCATTTCGATGAGATTTTCTTAGCAATGTACGTTTTTCAGCTTTCTTTATCCAATCGATTCGATCGCACCTTGCAACATTGATCGTTCCAATTTGTGTAATTACCTATAATGTAACCAAGAAATATGACCATTCTAATTAAAATATATCAAAAGCTAATATATTGAAAGTATCTACTACTGGCGGAATCTACTATTGTAACTGTAATATCAAAAGAAAGCTAATGTATTGATAGTATCTACGATTGTAATTGAAATAATAAAAGTTAACATATTGATAGTATCTACTTGTGTAAGTGAAGCGATAAAAGTCAATATATTGATGGTATCTACTATTTTTTTTTTATATATATATATATATTCGGTATAAAAACTTACACAACAAATTACCTAAAACAGTACGTACAAACTACTAAACTACATTACAAGGACAGAACCCAGGAGGAGCAATATAACATGACTGCCCCCTGGGATATGACATGTATATAAATATAACTAATAATACTACATATATATAAACTAGATTATAATAATACATACATAGTAAAATACAACATATACATAATCTACTATTTCAATCTCAATATAAAAAAAACCTAGTATATTGATAGTATCTACTATTCTAACTGCCATATTAAATGAAAGCTAATATATTGATAATATCTACCATTGGTGGTATCTCCTATTGTAATTGCAATATTAATATAAAGCTATTATCTTGATAGTATCTACTTTTGTAACTGCAGTATTAAAAGAAAGCTAGTATCTTGATAGTATATACTATTGTAATTGAAATAATGAAAGTTAATATATTGTGGTATCTACTATTGTGATTGTATTATCGAAAGCTAATACATTGACGGTTTCTACTATTGGTGGTATCTTCTATTTTAACTGCAATATTAATAGCTACTGTAATGATGTACCTAATATTGTAATTTTAATTTTTAATTTAAGCCATCACAAAGTTTTCTGAGTAAGCACAAAAAATGTCGAATTTGCCGAGTAAGAAACGGATTCATAACTCTTGGGTGTCACACCCCCCACACACCGCCCCCCTCTAGTACCGCCCCTGACTATTTGAAAAGTAAGGCTAAGGCTGCAACCTCGCTGGTGGAAAAAATATTGCAACCTTTGCAAAATTTTAATATTTACAATATCGATCTAGAACCAAGGATTCAATGCACAACGAAGAAACATTTTTTCATGATTATGCCCTATAGTTTTATCTGGTTTGATTTTACATAAATATGGAAAACTTTTAAGCGCAAGAATTGAATACGGTTTTACTATAAGCACCAAAAAAGATCTGCCATGGGCAAAAGTCATTTTTGTTTAGGAATGCTAAAATTTAGAAAAAACCAAGGTATCGAAGCTACTCTTGCAACATCTCTGATTAAATTCAAAACTTTCAACTAAATTTTTTTGCTTTAGTATCATATTTTAGACTTTCAACAACTGAATTGGCTACATGCTCGAAAATGGAAGGAATGTAAAGTTGGGGCATTGTTCTCCAAAATCCAATCGAAGAATCTCCCTTAATCCATCCTTTGTGAAGTCAAGCAAGACAGTCAGCTCAATCGTTCCGTCCTACAGTCACTCCCAACCCTACTTTCTCCCAATTTAACTATCTAGATTCCCAACCCACGCCCCCTTCTCCAAACTTCCTTCTATAACAACCTGTCAGGCTTTGTCAATTCTGCCTGGTTCAGTCGATCTCGGTGCATCCTTATACTTTACAATACAGCAATGAATACCTTGTGTCAGAAACTTGACATCGCAAAAACACCGTCCTTAACCTTGCCCGACGCAGAAGTTTTGGTCCAATCCATTTGGCTTATCTCCCAATGTTTTTTCCCAGACACCTATATCTCTTCTTTTGCCTTTTCATGCTAGGTCAGAGAAACATCTTCATCTGGTTCTCATTCATCAAATTGGGCACATGCCCCCCTTTCTTCGACCATTCGGCAATTTGTTGAAAAATTCATATTTTTACAGGAAATGGGAAGCTTGCCAATTGGTATTATTCAATGCAAGGGCACCTTTATAAAGCTCGCCTGTGTAAAATACAGACTGCGGTCACAATGGGCCAAGAGAAGTTAAATAAAGGCTGAGCTTGACGTATTTGGCACTCAGTTATGATGAGGTAATCGGCAGGTTTGCTGACACATTGTTAAGGAGACTTCTCATGCACTAAAAATCATCCAGCTCGGTTCTTAAGATTCTTAAGATATTTGTCACTCACATCAGTTAAGATATCAGTCCTATTGCGAGTTTCACTGTTCATCACAGAGAATGATTACGGATGATTTTGACTATCCAATGTTTGAATATGGATGCTGGCTATTCTCTGATCGACTTATTGAAAGTTAAAGTGACGCTGCAAAAGATACATATTGTTTGCCGTGTCTTTCTGCATTTATAAAACTGCGCATGCGCTTGATGACGTCATAATTTTATTTCAAACCTGTTGTAGGAAAATTTGCAAGCTTTGCCCCCTCCCTTAGGAGTCACTACCCACGACGCCCCTGCGTTGTCATGAGATGATGCACTATATTCAACAGTAATTTGTAGACTGAGTTTTCTTCGAATCTGGTAATGAATTTGCAAAAAAAATTAAAACCATATCCTATAATCTGTTCAAAGTTGTGCTGTCAAACAGCTGGAACTTATGCGTTGAGAAATGGCTGAGGCGCCTTGCTGTTTGAAACCTTAAACTGACGTTAAACCTTGTTTTTGTCGAAACTGTTTGCTGTAGGTGTAGGTATAGGTTTGAGGAGTTGCGGCAGGTAATATAATATAATATAATATAATATAATATAATATAATATAATAATATATAATATAATAAATATATATATATAAATATAATTAATTAATATAGATATAATATAATATAATATAGATATAATATTATAATATAATATAATATAATATAATATAATATAATATAATATAATTTATATATAATATAATAATAAATAGTAATTATAATATAGAATATAATATAATATAATATAATTATAATATAATATAATATAATATAATATAATATAATATAATATAATATAAATATAATAAATATAATATAATATAAATATATATAATATAGAATATAATTAATTAATTATAATATAATTATAAATATAATATAATATAATTAATATAATATATATAATATAATATAATATAATATAATATAATATAATATAATATAATATAAGAACAGTCAACTTTTTGGCTAATTTTATATGGTCGGCTGTCCTATGCAGAGACTCACTCTGGCAATGAGATAGCTTGTTACACTTTACTTTAATAATCACAATCCATGTGATTATTAAAGAAATCTGTTTGGGAATCCCTAAGCCCTAACTTGGGAAACCCTAACTTGGTTGGCAATCCCTAGCCTACGACTTTGGAGCAGACGACTCGTTCTTTTTTACGAGATTGTCAACGATATTACCCCTGATTACATAAGATACCCTATTCGACAATTACCACAAGCTATTTATTTCTTTCGTAATGCAGATGTAGGGCAAGAACGACAAGATTCAAGAACAGCTTTTATCCTGACGGTCTCTCTGAATGGAACACACTTGACCCAGAGATCAGGTTATCACCCTCACTGCATATTTTTAAAACAAAATTATCGAAACTTATCCGACCCACTCATAAACTAATATATGGTATTCATGATCCAAAAGGTCTAGCTATTCTTACTTAGTTACGGGTAGGACTGAGCAAACCAAGTTGTCATAAACTTAGGCATAACTTTGGAGATACATTCCACCCTTTGTGTCCCGCAAATGATGGGGTAGAGGACAAGGAACATTTCCTGCTGCTCTGTCATTCGTATAACCGGCTTAGATCTGACCTTCTCAATAATAAGAATGCAATATTGCTCCGTCATGGTTTTTCGTTTCTTTCAAATGAAGTTTTACTCTCAAATTCATTTTGTATGGTGATGAGTGATTAACCATTGACACAAATAAGAAGCTATTTCAGGCAACGCTCAAATTCATTCATGCTTCAGAACGCTTTTAAATGTTCCATTGCTGCACATTCCTATAGCATCTACTTTTTGTCTGTTTACTCTGTATTCGTAATTAGTTTACCTAGTTTTAGTTATATTTATTTCTATCTTTGTTTAATGTTATGTGTTTTTATGTATCGGCCATGGGGTGGTCATTGTCTTTCGCTCCTCAAGGTATCATCCCCGTAGTGTAGTACAGTAATTAGGGTAGTATAGTCAATGTAAAATTGTATTGTTATTAATTTATATGAAAAAAAGAAAAGAGTTGACTTGATTTTCTACAAAATGCACAAAAGTTAAGTTTTTAAGCAGCATTTTTTTAAGTTTCTATGGTGCAGTTTTTAAAAGTTTCATAAACATAAAAGTTGACGAAAGCTTATCACGATGTTTAAAAAAACAAATTTAGCTTCATGACTTACATACCTTGACGGATGACACCCAAAGCAAAAATTTCAACTGCTGGCACAAATTCAACTGCTGGCACAAATTTCAACTGCTGGCACAAATTTCAACTGCTGGCACAAATTTCAACTGCTGGCACGAATTTCAACTGCTGGCACAAATTCTTTTTTGAAGGAATTTCGAGTCTCCAGAACTACATCTGACAAACACAAATACTCTTGATTTGCAGTGGCTCGCTGTCTTTTATCCTGTGAGCCACCTGTGTTCAGCAATAAACCGGGTTCTACTACTCCCTCTACTGCGAATGATGTGCAGATGTTTTAACCGCACTTTATGCAGATGTTTTCGCTCACTTGTATATGTACTTTGCCTTGATTCCGAGGGACCAACTACACAGAGTCCCTATGGTAATTTTCCTCATTTCTACCCACCCTTTTGTTGTTCATTACGACCTTTCTTCGAACAGGTCTGGTATAGTGGACATGAAAATTTTCAAATATTCAGTACATCCAGAAAACCTTGTTCTCTATTTCTAAATGCTCGGAATGTACGAATATCCTTATGAATGAAATGCGTAAGACAGTTTGAATTTTTCGCTCTCAGATGGTCACGGCTTGCCTAATTAAATGGCAGCTTAGATTATATAATCTTACCGGCATTAAAACTGCATGTTCAGATCCAAAATAACTGTAGAGGCATTCGCATCTGTTCATCAGTTTCAAAATAATTGTTTTTTAGTTTTCTCTTGTTACGTAAGGAGAGGTAGGTGGCTGTTAGATTATCGAGCGGGAGTTTTTTCCGATTAGGTCCCAGTGACCGTCATTAAAAGCTCAATATTCTTGTCATTGTAAATCTTGATTAAATTGACTACCTTTAGAGCACCTCAAAGCTTAGAAAGCCTAATCACTTGCCAGGTTGAAGATTTTTGCAAAAGGGCAATAAAAAAGCAAACGGTACAGTTACAGCCTGAACCGGCACCTTGTTTGCCGTAGAAGGGTGGGGTAAAGTTCCAATTTTGACGCTTTCAGTTCATTGGAATGCACTAAAGTTTGAATAACGCAACCTAACTATCCTAATCGATTTTCTTGTGTCGTTGTTGTATAAGTTACCTCGTGCAACATATTGCATGGATATTTTTCAAATTCGAACTCAATATATCTTGGTGACATTTTATTATTTTATCTTGGTGATAATGAGGTCGCGGGAAATATTATTTGTTTTTTTCAAGCATTGCTGTTGCGTTACTTTTTAAGCCAGGTATCCAGCAGCTCTAGCTTTTTATTAACCCCTATTCCCACCTTGGAATTTCAGGCAAAAGAGATCTTGACATTGTGAACTGCAGCTGACGCTTCTTCCGAAAAACTGTAGGGAAATTTGACACAAGACACCACGAACAGGGCCGTAAATCCAGAGGGCGGGTGGGACTGGACCCCCCAAAATCTGGATCAAATCGATTTTTTGAAAAATTTTCGTCATTTTCTTTTAAAAAAAAGGAATCCCCGGTAACTGGGTTAAAACGGTAACTGAATAAATTTTAAAAACGACTTGTAAGAAAAGATCGTTTAAGTCGCCATAAATCTCGACAAACCTGCATTACACTTATCTTTAGTACACCCCTTTTTATAAAAATCCTAACTCAAAACCTAGGTTCTAAAGTTCCTAATTTCTGAACCTCTATTAGTCGAAATGCGGTACCAAGACCTCCATAATAGCTCCTAAAAAGTTTTCTACCACGTCGGCCCCAACCATGGTGGATCCTCCTACGTCACTAAGCGTGATTCTCAGCCCCCCAGGTTCAATTTCTTCAAGCTGTCTCTGAAAAATGTTATACACTTAATTATAAAAAAGTGAACATGCTAAGAAATATCTGTAAATACCTCCTATAGAGCTGAAAAAACCTTGCTAAATCTAAAATATTTTTTTTGTTTTCTAAGTCGTTTGCCCCTCAAACTTTTTCCATAACACATAATTTGTGGTGCTATGACCCACTGCACACTTCATATTCATTCGCTCTGCTGAACCCCCCCCCCCCCCCCCCCAATTGACATGACAGATTTACGGCCCTGGTGGTAAATGATATGTTTGAGCATTCAGCAAGATTTCGAAATACTATTTCCATTATTTTGCAAATATCTTGATGCATTCGAAATATCATCAAAAAATTTAAGCAAAAAATTTCTTTCCAACGTCTATTCACTGAATGAATGGCATTTGAATTTCTAACAAATATACAATGCAGATTAACTTCCGTTTTCTCTACTAATTTCAAATTGTTTTAGAATGGCCTTGTCATTTGGTCTGCTATCTGTGAATTTTGCAAGGGAATATTTTCAGCTTATTAGAATACAGCATAGAAAAATTTTTCTTGAAGAAACCAATTTGTATGGACCATCAAAGGAGCTGCCCCATCGTCATCCTCCGCACTTCGGAGGGTTTTATCTACTGGTTTGCTTTTATGAGCCAGAAGCTTTATTCTTTATCATTCGGTTTCAACTGTGATCTTATGCGTGGTTTCTCAATCTTCATTCTGAAGAAATTTTTCGTAGTTTCTATGGTTGTACTGCTGAGTTTCTATCCATATTTATTGACATAATGGGGTACCAATTTTGTGCCCACAACAGATTGTACCGAGATAAGAATACAAGGGACAGATGTCATTGACTTACCGTAAATCCTAGAATTAGCCCCCTGGGGGCTTATTTATTTTTGATATTGTTGGATGGGGGCCTATTCGAGGGGAGGCTAATACGAGGGGGGACCTACAAAATTATTGTAGACATTAAGAAGACATTATTAAAAGACCTCGTTTATTTCGGTAGGAATTTCTTTATGAGTATTTAATTAATTGCTACCAAAAGTATGAATTTGGTTTGGGAATTCAATACAACGCCATATAGGCAACCTCAGATGGCAACAATCATCAAATGAAGGGGTCCAATTTGACTATTTACGGTAGCAGTGGGGGCTTTTCCGAGAGGAGCTTATTGACAATTTGTAGTTCTAGGGTGGGGGCTTATTTGAGAGGGGGGCTTTTTCGAGGGGGTCAGTTCGAGGATTTACGGTATAACAGAGAAGTGGAGAAGAATCATTCTAATAAGTTCAACTGGTAATCAAATTTTTTTATCCAAAATCTTCACTGAGATGTTTTGCAACTCAATCTAAGAACACGTAACAAACGTCAAAAAGTAATAAAGATAATAAAAGCGGTAAACAGTTTTTCACTCGTTATAACTCGATAGTCACATCTCAACCATAAAGCAATATTTTTTTAATGAAGACATATGAGCTTGCAAGCTGAATGGGAGTTTAGCCAAAAGAAACCATTGTTGAAGGCGACGACACATCAAAACAATGTTTAGGCCATTAATGTCTGATATTTTGTAGATCCGTTAAAGAAGGCATAGGGCATGCTAGATTTGTCACCAAGACCCGTGTGAATACAAATCCTGTCTTTGCAGATTTTTTAGCCTTGAAGATTATGAAATAAACCGCTATTTAAAATAAATTGCAGATTTTGTCAATGTTTTTGTGCTCGAATAAACCCCCCCCCCCTCGAATAAGCCCCCACCCAAAAATTAATTTTTGCAAATAAGCCCCCGGGGGCTTATTCGAGGATTCACGGTACATTTTTACTTAGTCAACACATAGTACAACTTCTGCCCCAATCTTGACGTTAATGGGTTGGATGAATTAATTGCAAGTAAAAAATGCTACATTCTTAACGTGCTGTGCCATTTTGCAGTTAAGGTAATTTTACAGCAAGTGGAAGAAAGGAATGGTTGAATCTGAACGAATACAAGTTATTGAAGATGTCTTCACTCGTATACATATGCCTGCATGTTTTCCTTCATAACACATGATAATGCTAACAATTTGCTGTAAAAAGATCCCTCAGAGCTAATTAAAACTATTGTCTAGAAATCTTAAACATTTGCATTTGACCAAACCTCTATTTGGATCTAGCAAAGGAAAAATTTCAATTTTTCGCTTCTTTTGAAACATTTCAAACATCTTTTATTTGATTTCCGCGTGCATGCCTGCATCAGCTTAGATTCTGGTTAGTTGTTTTGCGATCAATTTTACGATGAAATTCTTGCTGGCTAATCCAAGGATTAATATTTTTGTCACTAAGGCATCAGAAACACTCTTTCCATGTCTTCATCTAAACAACTTTGAGCTCCGAAGCTTACCATTCCTTGTCCTAAATATATCTTGTATACTGATCTTCTACTTGTTTTATTCCTTCCACAGGTGCTATGTTAAGTGGATTTGACCACTGAAGCAAAAATGAAAACTCTTTCACTTTGCATGACGCTCTATATTGTTCAATTACCCGTGCCAAAGTCTTGACCAAACAACTCGAGCATGTGGAATATCACCCATGGGTGTCTTATGAAACGCTGTATGAAATATTTCTTACATTTTCTTCATCCTTAACAAACACCATAATGAAATTTGTAAAGAACAGTTTAAAAATATGTGGCGAAATTTTAGTTCCACAGAGAAAATTATTGTCTTCTTTAAATCAAATCATAAGAGAAAAATACAGAAGAAAAAGGAGTCGCTGACTCTTTATTTTCATATCTTCTTCATTGATTGCATTTGACCTGACCTGAAATTATTTCCTAAGATTGGCTCGGACTTCAAAGTATAGCCTAGTAGCCCCCAATGCCAATTCGTATTCCCGCAGTAACTAGTTAACCTGAACCTGTTGTAGTACAGTAAATCCCCGCATATAAGAACCTACAAAAATAAGAACCTAGAGGCTGTTTTTCCTAAATTATGCACCTTGTAATTAAGAACCTGTTTCAGTATGATAAAATATAATAGGTTCTTTTCCCAAGGGCAAAAAATAGAGTTTTCAATGGTCCTTATTTACTCCCAGATTTTGTAATGTTGCATTAATAACATTGCCAAAATGAAAAAACAGGGTTGAATGCATCTCTTGATAATGAATCCTAAAATTTGAAATAAGGGATCCTTCGAATAAGAACCTTCAAACCCTGAAATTAATCCAAGTACCTTGCCAATAAGAACCTACTTCAGCCTGAACCTCAAACAAGTAGGTTCTTATATGCGGGAATTTACTGTATTGAAGGGAAAATTAACAGCGCAAGAAATGTTTTGGATGAAATTTTTTGCGAATTGATACCTCAGAAAAATTTGTCCTCGTATTGTCGGCGAAAGTGCATTGACCCAGAACCGGGTTTTTGAGAAGTCTTTGCATACTTTTAGAAGAAAATTTGGAGTTTTCTAACTTAATTTGGATTTTTCTAAATTTTTTCTAATCATCTCAGTTTGCCTTTAACATTTTTGAAAATACATGGAATTAAGTTACTAAGGATATTTATCGCAAATAGTTTTAGAAATCACTGATTTGGCGATGGACGGGCTTATTTCTCATTATAGATTCATTCTTTAATCATTGCAATAATCACATCTGCAACCTCCGAACCAGAGGTTTATAGCATAAAAACGTTTACTGCATGACAACAAACTGCACTCAGATCAAGCTTTTTTAGGTATATTTTGTCAATTAAGCTATCTTTTTAAGTACAGTAACAAGATGATGGTTCATTAGAGATCTGAACACGACTTATCTCAACCCTAAGCTTGCTTTTGAAAAAACTGTGGCTGTCAATGCTTTCTTTATGGTTGCTTCATGCTTTGTAATTT